TTTTTTCTATAATATGACACTGACCTTATTTTACACCTTCGCCGAAAACTCTTCATAGATTTTCAAAGCTAACGGCCAAGAGTTTAACAATTATCTCAGTAATCTGCTTAAAAAGTGAATAAATAAAGCTGGATGAAGGTTTTTGCTTTTTGAAATTTTAACAGAATGGTTCAACATGCACCGAAGGTCGTCAAATGGTGTTTCATCCGGGAGATCTTAAATGTGACACTACCAAGTTATAAAATGTAACTATTGACAAAACATAAATATAAATATGTGTAATTGTAAATACGGCATTAACCAAAGAATGTAGTAACTAAACTTTTAAATAACCGGTAAAGGGAAGGCAGGTCCTCCGTAAACATAAAAACGTTGTTTTATAAATAACTGAGCACTATCATTGAGCTAAATGATTCGAGAAGTTTTCGCTGTTAATGGGAAAGATCAAAGTTTCCTTTTCCAACGATTTGTATCTCAATAATTAGAGTATAAACATCTTCAGTGAATAAATCAGTGGTGCCCACTCCTTTCCTGTTTAAGCTGCTAAGCGAGTCACGTGACAATTACGTTCTGCTTGCTAGTGTGACTTATTAACATGCATTAGAGAAATTTACTGAAGCCTAAGTGTCAAGCTGAAAAAGGCCGACTTGCTTCGACTTTATAAGAAATCCTTGCTTTTGAAGTAAAGACTGCGTGGCTATCCAACATCACGCGGTACGGGTAACTTACTTTGCCATATTTCAATTGATACAGGAAGCTCAAGAGGTTATAATTCACATACCAGCAGAGGAAGACAACAGTTCATTGGAAGAGAATGACAGCATCTCTCACGGTGTTTCTAGCTTCATAAATTTTGGTTACGCTGCTGCCATGGCGGCCATGAACGACAGAGATTCAGATGAACTTGATGACATAGATCACGAGGCGTTCTTTCCTCCTCCCCCCAGGGGACCTCCTCCGCCACCGCCGGACTCTGACGAGGACGACAAGGACGACGAGGACGACGACGAGGACGACAATGAGGACGACAATAATTCACCTGTTGTCTTCCGCCGAAGTGATTACGAAAAAGGTAGAGATAGTCCGGGGCTCCAGCCTGCAGATTACGATGGTGATGTTGATGGCATGGTACTAAGTAACTCTCCTTCAGAGTCCACATCAGGCGGCACAGATCAGTTAGTAACAGGTTCTCTAAAAGTTTCATTACCTAATGGTTTGTTCTTGAAGCGATTTTCTTTGACCGAAGATACTACCGAGCTTTAAACAAGCTCGACAACCACATAATCCACTAACACTTAGATACGGCCGTTATAGACTTGGGCACTGCTCCCTATTTAGTAAATATGATCGGTACAGATACTGCAGATACAAAAGTCCAATAATAGGGACGCTTCGTAAGGTTTAGGGCTGGCAGATCAGTGTTTAATGTTATGTCAATCTCGGACGGAAGAACATAAGGAGGTCCTCATACCGTGAGATAAACGACCAAGTCAACTCACTAGCAGCAAAATGTTTCAGAAATCAGAAATCAATCAGTCTCTTAGTTACTGATGGCAGAGTAAAAAAACTCTCTAAAATAGGTATTTATTATCAATGGTACGACTGTCACAAGTGAAACGTACGCAATATGTTAACTTTATTGATTATTTTAACTCGCCAGCGCAGTAATCTTACTTGTAATCTTATAGATGGTTAACAAAGTTAGCAACAAATATACAGCTGACGAGCATCTCATGTACCACAGTCAGCCGCCATCTTGAATAAGGATGTATGCCAACGGTGTTTCACTCAGTATTTCAAAAGGGTCCTTCTCATCTCCTTTCGTAACAATTCAGACGAGAAGCTTATATTAACATCGTACCATACTACTTCTGGCTTGAAAACATCGCCTTTGCCGATGGACTTCTGAATTTGAAGGTTATAATTGCAAATAGTTTTGTTAAACAGAACGTATAAAAGTTGTCAAAATTTTTCTTAGAATTCTAAGAAGTGTCCTTTCAAGCATTTTTGTTGTTTTTTTGTTCTGCTCAGACGTCGACAGTGTCAAAGTTAAGTTTGTCTATTAATTCAAATTCACGGTTCTCGAAGACTGAGATTAGGGTGCCCCCTAAAGAAAGAGTTTACTCTTTTCGAACAATTTTATTAGTTCATCCTGTGGAACTGTTAGATATCACATATTTTATATTTTTGAAAAGGTTGTAAGACAAAGAAATGACTATTTTTGCGAATGTAAATATGAATTACGTACTCTGATGCTGTTTGTAATAGCATCTTGAAGAAGAGAGTTTTGAATGTCTCAGTTTTTACTTTTAGTTTATTCAGTCCACACTCAAAGTGCAATTTTCAGTTTCAGTCCACAAAATTAATAAAAGAACACAAACAATAAAACCAAGCCATAGACTTGTTTGAGTAACTCTATTTCTGTAAACTAAATAAAAAAAAAAACTGCTGCAACGAACGATTCGTTTGACGTCCCTTTCAACAGTGTACTGTGTCTGTTACAAACTGAGGCCTGGTGTAAAAGGTGAGTTTTGCTCACAAATTCACTTTCAAGTTCAACATAAGCAAAATCATTCCAAGTTGAAGTAATTTTACACCAGACGTCATTTTGATTAAACCATTCACACATACAACATGGTGAACGGTGATGACTAGTTGAGAGATTAAAACCCAAGTTCTCTTTTTTCATACTTAACGAATTAGGTCATGGGGGTCTCAGGGGATTTATAGTAAAAAAAACAAAAACAAAACAAAAAACAGACAAACCATAGCAAAAACAAAAACAGGCAAGGAGAATGAAGTTATGCTGAACGCGTCATAGCCACGTGACGTATGGAGGGCGAGGGAAGAGGTGGAAAAGTATGGGGGAGGAGGGAGGGAAAGATCAAGGGAAATTTCTGGAAGGATCACGCCGTCATGTCTGTTCTTGTCAGTTGATTTTCAGGGAACTCGACAACACGAGGGCGAAATCATTTCTTTTCCCAAGTAACATACTCGCCCTGCCTCAAGCTAATTCTGTTCTTTGGATACATGCTCTTCGAGACGGCCAATAACTTAAGTTTGAGTTTCCCGGATGTCACAGTCACCATGTATTTAACGCGCTCATTGAGATTCCTCGCTTGAACTGTTCCGCTTCCAAAAGGAGTGAAAAACGGAAGAGCATATGGGACTTTTAATTTCGGCTCAAACGTCAATTTCTGTTCGACCGCGCTATACAGCTGACCAGAGAGAGCCAGCGGTATATGCCACAGAACCATGTGGAAACTGTAATGCGACGTGCACCAGGGCTGACCGTCCACGCCATAACCTTGGCCAGCGGTCAAACCGTGAATATTCCAGAAGTCGTTTAGTTTTGTTCTGTAATGTTCTAAGGCTTTCTCAGCTTGTTTGAGTGCTTTTGCAGGATTCATTCCCAAATGAATGTTCATAGTTGTCCAATCTGCATCGCTTCCCATCCAAATCGAGTTGAACTTGCTCTCTTCTTCGAGAGAAAAACAATTTTTGTGATTAAGAGTTTCTTGAGTTACAGGTCGCATTGAAGTTATTTTGTTTGGTTGCTTCGATTTTCCAAGTGCATTACCCTTTTTTGCGGTAGTATTGTCTTTTCTGATCTTTATTTTCATTTCCACTTTCTTCACCAGATGTTTATCTGAAGATACTTGACGTGGAACTTTGTTACTTGTTTCAGTGTTGGTTTTTGGATTTTTCTTCACAGCTAACTTTGGAGAGTCTTTATTCTTGTTAACATGGGACTTCTTTTGTAGTCCGGAAACTTCGCTAAAGAAGCTGTCCAGATGCGCTACAGCCTCTTCTCTGGGTATTTTTCTTTTCTGTCTTGTTATTTTGTTCTTGCTAGTTGTGTTTGTTTTCTTTCTCAGTTTGTTTGCAGGAATACCCTGAGTGAGCACGCGCAATCCATAAGGCGTGTCATTCAATTCTCGTTCCTTTTGCAGATGTCTTTTCATCTTATCAGGATCAAGGAGACTTCCAAGACCCAAAACATAGGCCCAAACCTAAATAAGGAAAAAAAAAAAGAAACTCTAGAAAATAACAACTTAACGTGTAGAGTATATCATAAACTTGAAGTAGAAGTAGTATAATTTAAACCGCTGTGTGATTGAGCTTTCCAAAGACATTTCAGGAACTAACAAAGTTCTCATGCAGCCATGACTACAAATATATAATATAAAGAAAATCGAGTAGAGCTCCCATAGATCCTATAAAGGCAGTGTGCTACTCACTTGTCCATACAAGGAGTCCGTCATTAGCCAATTAGGTGAGCCTTTCTCGTGATCCCACCAAGAGTGATAAAATCCGTCATTCTCATTCCATAAAGTTTTGTCCATTTTAGCCTTTCCGTACTTGAACGCTTGGCGAACCGTCTGAACTAATTCTGTTTCTCCTAGCGCCTCAGCAAGAACTTGTCCAGCTCGCAAACCCAGAAGATACATCACACTGTTATAGGTGGTGTGGTCGTAACCCTCGAGGTAAATGATGTCATAGGTGCAGGTTTGATGTAACGGAAGACCCGAGCCTTCTGTACTGATATGCATCAGCCAAATCAATGATTTGCGGGCCGCTGGCCAGAGGTCTCGCAGGAGTTTTTGGTTGCCAGTCCATAGGTAAAGATGATAAAACTGCAAAAAGTAAAATCATGTTTTTGAAGCATGGTGGTCTGGGTTTGAATCTCGTCCTCAGAGGTGCCTTAAGCCGGTGACTCCTTTGTGAGTGCATTTTCACTAATTCAAGGCTGGTGTCCCAGAAAGATCACTGGTTGATTTCTAATTATTACCTTTTGGCGAATGAAAGAATCTACAGGCTTTAACAGCTTTTAATATAGAGAATTTAAAACACAGTAAAATTCTGACCTAAACTTAACGTTAAGGAAGACTAAACTAAAAATGGTTCGTCGTAAGTCAGTTTTAAACTTCCTGGAGGTCTTTAAGTGCTGTTACTGAACTGCTTTAGGTAGAGATCAATCAGTGGATATTGCTCGGAAGGAAACAGCGTTGAATTAGGAGAAATATTAGTCCAAGAATCTAGCCAATCAAATCACGTATTTTCGGAGTCACCCTCATCGGCTAAGAGAGGCAGCCCTGGGGACGAGAATGATGTCAAATGTTGGTCTAGTTTTTTGTTTATTTTTTTCAATTTTTTGTAAGAAGTTTTCCTTTCTTATCGACTCCTCCCCTAAAAACCATCACATTTTAACCGCCTTTTCCTTAATAAAGGGTTAGGTCAGGCTAGTTTTGAAGATTTGCAACTGAGGTATTTATTGACGATGACAAACTTACATTCTGAACAAGGATAATGCACGAACGTTACGAATCACGTTTTCATACAAGACATACAAATTAAAAATATTATAAATCATGTTTATTACTCTGCAATATTATTTTATGCTGACCAACCCATACTTCACATTTTTACGGCTTTATGTAACACACCCGTCAGACCAGACCATCCTGGATTTAATTTCTATACCAAAATACCTGTGCTAGAAAGGCTGGCGTAACATCGGCCATAACTCTCCCTCCCGGGTTATCTAATCGGTTTGTCCGGTTATGGCATCCCCACTGCATTTGCAGAGTTTCTTGTATATATCCAGCTGGGTGCTGAAATCGAGCCCAGGCTCTCACGACGTTCTCTAGCAAATCTGGAAAGAACATGACGTAAGGCAGCTCTCGCTGGAAATCATTGTGAACTGAATCAACGTCATTACAGTCTAATGCCTCCCACTGTCGCCATCTGGATAAGAAAAAGTGAAAAATTTTCATCTTATCAGTTCTCGTTCGTTCTCATTGATTATANTAACTTAGCAAGGAGGGAAGGCTTGAACACTATGATGAGAAATATCATTTTCAAAAGACGAATGTGACAAATGCAGTTTAAATGTGTCATCCATAAGCAAGACCATCACCGTGTCTGTCAATCTCTCGGTCTCTTCGTCCAGTGTGTCTGTCCAGATGTGTGTCTGTGTCTGTGTGTCTGTCTACCCAGCTGTCTGTTTGTCTGTTGGTCGTGACGATCAGTAGATGGCTATATTCTTTGCGTGAGCTGTTACCTGCCGTCAGCCACTCGGAATCCACTTCTCCAAAAACTTAAACTGTTGATAAGGTGATCTTGAAGCCACTCAGGGAGTGAAGATTGAACAGCGTGATCCTGTGGGGGAGAAGAGACCGGCCTTGGTGGAGAAATGTTTGACTGCCAAGAAATAATGTCTTCCAAGTTTCCCAAAAGGTTGACTCGCATATGGTTGGCCACATCCTCACTGGAATTGAATAATTTGCTAAAACAGAACAAAGGAAAGGCTTGTTTTACAACACTAAATAACTAGCAAGCAACGTTTAATACAAGTTTTATACAATTTTAATTTACCAGAAAATTAAATACAATACAAGAAAACAGCTACTATCTCTGGTCTTTTCTGGAGACACATGTTGCCACTCGAGGGTAAGCGTACAGAGTAGACGGCTGATATTCAGGCTGCCTTTCTGACAGTACGAAGTTCCTGATAGAAGCATTCATTATTTTCGAAAAGACAATATAACCTGTGCATATTTTCTATCCTTAAAAACTCGAGTTTAAATTGGTTCAAGAGTCGGGAGTGATAATGAAACAGATCCAAGATTAGAGTTATTCGAGGTTAGAGAAGAAACGGAAAGCCTCCTTATCCCAATATCTGCAAAACAATTCCTTATTTGCACGATTTGACAAATAAATACAGTTCTAGCGAATTTGAAACCGTGTCTTTTGAGTCATTTTTCCCGTGCAAGAAAGCTTCAATTCATGGAACATCCCTAGTGACAAAAAATGTCGGAGATTTGCATTTGATTTTTAAGGTTCAAAGTCTTAAACGGTTTCCCACGCTTTGGAAGCACTGATCAACAATAAGTCTATCGAATGTATATTTTTTTAATTTTAAGAGCAATACCTGTCAATTTATTATTCAATTTTCATTGTAAATAGAATTTGAGCCGCGAAAATGGATTTAAAACAAATTTAAAGACACTTCTTTCGCTTACAATTGCCGCGAAGACGGCTCGAGAGAGAAATTATTTGTATTTGTCTTTAATTAATAATTTGACACGCCGCGAATTTTCTTCGATTCAAAGAAGAAACAAAGAAACCCCTTTGGATTTCATTCTTTATTAAATTTAAAGACGGGTCAGGTGATTAAAAACAAAAGATTTATATAGTAAATGGTTTGAACCCAGGAGTATCAGTAGTTCGTATAGTGTGATCATCCGGGTGAGGGTAGTTCTGAAAGTGTTACCAACAACAGTTCTTTTCAGAAGTACTCTCACCGGAATGGTCACACTATATGAAGTTAAGATTTATATATTTAAATTTTGCAGAGTTTATGTGAATGACGAGGTGGCCGAGTGGTTAAGGCGTTGGACTGCTAATCCAATGTGCTCTGCACGCGTGGGTTCGAATCCCATCCTCGTCGACATATTTTTTTTTCTTTTTCTCGCTTAAAGTTTTTTTTCTCTCTATAGTTCTTTTTTAATTTTTTTTTCTACAAAAGGCAATCATTTACCTTTTCTGGTATATTATTTTGGACTGTATTGGTTAAATATTGCTGCATTGCAACCTACCGGCCATTCTGATCTAACTTAAAATATTCGCTGAGCTTCGAAATTGACTTTCAACTAGAATTTGAACCCATTGCAACAGAACAGTCAAACAACATTTAAAATGTTCTTTACAATCCGAATTTATTAATTCTATGATTTTTAAGAAGAAACTGTTGTCCTTACATAGTCCACATAGAGAACCGCTGTAACCGAGCCTTTAATCGCTGGGCGAGCGGAGAATATTGAATATTGAATAACGTTTACTACTAGGCTCCTACGCAGAGAAACTGGAGGAAAATAAAGGGCCTTCATTGTAAGAAAGAGCCATTCGAAGGCTAGAGCAACCTATTATTTATAATTGTAACGCTAAAACCAGCTACTGAACCATTTTCAATTTCGATCAGTATCACGATACATTGCTCACCTGTAATACTGCCCAACTCGCTCTCCTGTGTGATCTCTGTTAGGATAATGCCAGGCTAAAATAAATGTCAATGTTTCACTTATTCCAGAAGGTAATTTTGCACCAACGGAAATCGTTCCATGAAAGCCTGTAGCTTCAATCCTTTTCCTCAACCTTCCACTTGATTCAAACGCTTCCCATACCGACCGGAAGTCATCGGTGACTGCAAATGTCGGCTTGTTTGTGTTGATTGACATCAAAGAGGTACTTCCGCTGTTAGGGAAGTTTCCAGGTCTTTTGCAAGTCAGCATTTCACCAGTTATTTTCCATCGTCCTTTCACCCCTACGCATTTTAAATGAGTTTAGTACTGTTTTGTTAACTTTTTCTTTCACGGAAGAAACTACTGTAAAAGTAGTCCGTGTTACGTATTGCGTTACGCAAGAATCACGCAAGTTAGTACTTCTGCCGTTAGAAAAGATTTACCCAGCACACCTGGGTTGTTCGACCTCCGTATAAGTCAATATCCAGTGGATAGCGTGGTTTGTTTTGTTAACACTTATCCACTGGATGGCGGTTTATCCGGTGGATAGCGTTATCTGGGCCCAGCACAGTCTGAGCGGCTTCTATTTGCGGGAGCGTTCGACCGAGAAAAACGGCTAAAATTATATTTGGCACAGTATGGGCATTCTTGATAGATTTAAATTGCGAACACACAGATCGTTCAGCAACATCCCTTAGAATGAAGGAAGACTCAAAATGGAGGTAAAAAAATATATTCCAGGAATGAGAGAGTTGCCAGCAAAAGAACACGAAAGACGATCGGGGAGTAATTCTATTTCTGACGATTGATGGGGTCAGCACGACGGAGAGGCTAGCGGGGTGTCACGGGACGTTTAGGGACTACATTTATTTACGCTTTTGGCGGGAGATTTAGGTCATTCTAGAAAGTTGGTCAGTCTTCGTGTTCGTCCACTTTTAAGCCTTTGTTTTAACAGCGTGTACATCCACCAATAATTGTGATAATTTTGATAATTGTGATAATGTTGATTTCATACCCTTTCTCGGGGTCTCGTGCTGCTGCGTTAGATGAGGAATACGTTTCGTCTCTGGCGCAGCACAGGTTCTAATTGTTCGAACCAATAGTTGTAAGATTATCTTATAAGACGGATTACATCAGATGACTGACTGACGCATCCTCAATAAACTATTCAAGTCGAATGTCTCGTGTTAGTGCAGTCAGAATTTCAAACAGATTTTAGAAGCAGAAATTGTTGTTTGATCTGTTGGCCATAAACATTTTTCTACATTCTGCAAAACGCTCTACTCAGCAAACAAACCAAAAAGTAAGCAAACAAGTAACCATCTAAAGCAAGCAAACCCAGGGGGTACTCCCTCATATTGGCTATATAGGTATGTGCTGCCCCAAAGGGTATGGTTTTTCAGCCGTTTTGGTCAGTCGTAAATAGGGTAAGATTTTTGGGAAGCGGGCCGCACACCCCAACCCAATTTTGCTGGGAGTACCCCCCCCCCCCGCGATAGAAACAGACCAACAATAGTCCTAGTCTGCGAGCGGGCTCACGTTGGAGCACAAGCGCGCGCGGCGTAGCCGCGAGACGAGAAAGGTGCCTCTTCCCTAGACTCCTTCCCGCCGGATTGCTTTGCTCTTCGTCGCTCGCGCGTGACTCAAAGGTGAGCCTGCTCGCAGGCTACAATTTTTAAATCTCAGGCCGCCTTAACAGTGAAATGTCAGTCATCTTCCGCCCTCAGTCTAATTAGGCTGAAGGCGGGAGATGACTGACATTTCAGGCTATGGCGGCCTTGTTTAGAGTGTTTCCAGGCTTACCGGAAATAACATCAGGCCGGTAAGCGTGAAGCGGCATAGAGTCCTTTAAGGAACAATTGTTCTTTTCGTAGCTCCATGCCATACAGCGATCGTCTTCATTACACATGGCTGCACACTGTGCGGACGACTCCACGTCAACTATGGTCTCTATATTGTCACCATCCCTTGATGTGTCTGGGGATCAAAAAGGAAAAAGAAACAAAATAAATACACATTGCAAAACAAGAGGACTGAACAAGCAGACAACTCCCTGCTCATGCCAAGTTTCCTTTTCTCTCAATCGATCTCAATAGAACTGTGAGATTTCACCCGGAGATTACTGATGACAAAGTCAATCGACCAATCACAGACACAGATTTCTGTAGTGCTAAGTCATCAGAATGGAATTTTTGCTTATCCATGGTCAGGCTATCGATTTTGACTCGCAAAGGTGCTGCCCTAGGCTAAGTTCTGCGCATGACAGCTAAAATAGTAATAACGGCAGCCCTCGAATAAACGCCGCACCTCTGAACAACAACGCTGCGCTTATTGAAAACACGCTAACCGTATTGCTGGTGGGATTTGTCTCAGCGGCGGAGCAGCCAACAACAGCGACCGAGCTACCGGGAGAATGGGGAGTAGCGAAGTAAATACTCGCGAGCGCGAAATCTGGTAGCTAAGCAACCTAAATGAAAATTAAAACTATAACAGTAATACCGTAACTTGTGTTATGACGTTACCTGGTTGTTCACCAAGAGGAATATTTAACAAGAAAGACAAGTTCACTTCTTTCTCAGTAGGATTTTTAACACTCAGCGTGAAAGTTACCCCAGGAACAAAAGACAAATCAGTTTTTCTTGCACGGAGAGTTCCATACGCAAATAAATCCATTTCTACACCAAAAAATCTCTCGTCTCTAACACTGAGTCTTGACACTGGAAAAGAACCAGAGTAGGACAATCCTTTCACACCGGGGTATCCAGGGGGAGGGTGTGTTCGTAGCAAGGCGACTTTTGTTCCCAACGAGGAGCGAACTCGTACTCCAAGTAGCGCTTTATCCAATGCACCTGGCCCGAGTTTGACCGAGCCACCGGGAGACTGGTTCTCAAGGGTCCATTCGTGGAATGATCCGTCAGCCCTTAGCTCTAGTGATCCTAGAAATGAAAAGCAGAAAATTTCAGCACGCCTCTACCAAGTCTTAAGACTTCTAATTCTCGTTTTTTTTTTTCATGCCACTAACATGGGAGTAAGAAAAGGATACTGAAGGGTAATACACAGGTAACGTCCACGCGACCTCTTACTTAAGGCTCGTGTCTATACCAAGAAAATACAAGTGACTAGTGGGATATTCCATGGTATACCAACGAGAACGTGTTGTATAATTATTTTATACCATGCCATAGAAAATACAGTGGCCAACACAATCAGTGATATACGCGCAAGGCGCGATGGGAAAGTTGGGTGCAATACCGCAGAGTATACGACGGCTTTGCTAATTTCTGATTGGCTGTATTTTCTATGGGATGGTATAAATACGAGCAGCACACGAACATAGCTGGGAAATATATGGGTACATACAAACACATACGTGCAATACACAGGAATAACACTGACAACAGATAGACGTCATATTAATAATAATACTAATAATAATGATAATAATAACAATTAATAATAATAATAATAACAATAATAATAATAATGATAATAATAGTAATAACAATATTTATCCAGGGAGCCCACTCGCCTTGGCGGTTTTCAGTGGGCCCCTTCAAATCATAATAAAATTAAAAACAAGAAAAGAGATAAAAAAATTGATATTACAATATAAAACAGATTATCCATAATGGTTCATGTGTTACCCGTATGAATGCGTACGTATTGCTTTCAAGAGGGGTAAACAAACGTAAAGCGAGTTAAACCCTTATACAGGCATTATCCAAGTTCTTCAATGCTTCCAATGATATTTAAGAATTACACCTTGGTCTCTCAATTCCATGCTACTGGACTTCGCTTTGTCCGAAACAATTCAACGCTATTATTCCAATTCCACTGAAGGGAAAGAACTTGTTAGTCTACTCCATAGTTGCGGGAGTCTCATAGCAGCATTACCTGTGCCCATTCCTCCAAGCGGTACTGCAGATCTCATGCCGAGAGGTGGAGGAGTCCCACTGGAAGACTGGTAAAGATATTTAACAGGTGTATATCGTGGTGTAACCCAGCCATGGACAGTCTTAGTGAAATTTTCCGGTTCAACATACAGAGCGCACTGCTGCAGAAAGTTAAACTTCATGTCTGAGTTGATGTTGGAAGGTCCATTCAGAAACCGGACTGAATCAAGAAGGTCGCCTATGTTACCTAAAACGGAACAACATAAGTATGAGGAAATAATGACTATTTTGTTTGTTTCCAGAAATGGGAAAAGTAGGTCAAAAAATTGAATCATTTCTAAATGGCCTAAGTATTGGCATTATGCTCAACTTTTGACATATGGATTGCCTTTACTACGCCTTTCAGTAACATGCGGACTCTAAAATTCAAAGCTCAACCGACAAATGCGTTTCTCGCTACCGTCGATCAAATGTTTGGCGGCTTCTCCCAGCTTCCAACTACTGCCGACCACTGTTTCGTTGTCTGAACTTTGCTCAACGATTTGATTACCGCGCACTAGGCAGTAGTCGGAAGCTCGGAGGAGCCGCTGAACATTTGATTGACGGTAGTGAAAAACGCATTTGTCGGTTGAGATTTTAATCTTAGAGTCCACACGTTATTGAAAGGCGCAGTAATACAATAAGTGATTTTAACTTTGCTCCTTATGACTCCCTGTTTAGAGCAATAATTCAAGCTTCTTACCACGCGACGCATTTGTTACCTTCATTTGGATTAGGCACCACTGTTTTCTTGCTATTTTTCCTTTGAACGTGATCTTTAGCTTGTTTGATATCCCACCTGTCACTTCGGAGCTTCTTGGAAGGATTATCTATGTACGCTATGACATTATCAACTGTTTTGCTGTCAACGTTCTTAGATTGACAATCTTGCATGCTATAACACTGCACAGTATAACATCGGCCAGTCATGATAAGGGCGATATCACACAGCTGGTCCTGACAACAGAGCTTTGCGCAGTGTGTAATGTCATTTGATTTTCCACGTAGTGTAAAGTTCCCTGCGTCCATTCCTGAATTCAAAGTGGCATTCTTTGCTATCTCTATGATTCCGCACTTTTTATCATCCTTGTGCAAGTATTTACTTTTCTTTACATTTTTAACTTGGGTTTCACTTTTGACTCTTGTTTTGACAGAACGGCGGTTCGGTGCGCCTTTCTTTCTCCTGCTAGTTGAAAGTTCATCTCTTCGCTTTGCAGAAAACTTCTTTTTAACATGAAAAGCGTGTTGTGTCTCATTCATAGTCTTTTGGCTGTTTGAGTTAATCTTGATTTCTCGGAAACCACTTAACTGAGTTTCATTTAACCAGACAGCGTGCTCGTTGGAATAAGGTTGCTTGGTTTTCGACGTGTCTTTAATCTTCGGTGAACTTTTTCCTGTGAATTAGATTAAACATACCCAAGAGACGAT